TTAGGGTACTGTATTAGGGTCCCCTGTTTTCGGAAACCCCCATCTGGGTTCTGAGCGCTATACTGGCAACAGGATAATGGCATTTTTGCCGGGCTTAGGATTTAAGACCTTACTCATTGTTTCGCGTACTGTACCGTAATGGCAAAGGTGTCTTTGCGCTGACTACGTACTATAAGTAACAATTTCGATTCCACAACTCTGGAACTTTATCAGCCACCGAACCTTGAGGGAAACCAGGGAACCCCACGCAAACCCAGGAAAGCCCTATCAAAAACTCGCAGGACCTCTGGTAGAAACCTACAGAACTCCAAATTCGGTGACATGGCCTTGTCTAGCTGCGTGCCCAAGGTCTCCACGACCTCAGAATAGAGGGCCTGGAAGACGGGTCTTCGCTGGAGCATGTGGATCAAACTGTCGACAAGTATGAGGTTTAGGATGGTTTAGGGCCGTAGAAGGCTAGGTATTGGATTTTGCTAGGTGTTGGCCCATGGGGCTTATAATACTTTGGGGGAAGTCTGGAGCTTGAGGGTTTAGGGGAGCTTAGGGACAACATGCAGGCTCTAAGCCCGAAGATCCACAAAAGCAACCAGCCAACCCTACATCTCCAAACCACAAAAAACCTAGAACAAAAACACAACAGAAATAGGTTAGGTCCGAGCAAAGGGTAAGGCTGTGGTGAGGCTCAAGACTCTCAAGACGCTTGACAAATCATCCAGGCAGGAACCTAAGCCTAGGGATGCGAGGCTACGGTGTCAGAGGTGTTGCGAAAGTAGGGGTTGCAAGCTTCGTTTAGGTTCTAGCTCACAAGTGCTGGGATTGACTCTGAAGCTTTCCTTTCACTTCCCAAGATAAACACCAGGAAGCGGACGTGCAGGGCTCCTTCGTGAACTTTCTTAAACCTTGACCCCTTCACCGCTATAGGCTTGTCACTGGCCACAAACAGACGGGTGCCGCAGATGTCTCGCGAGCTGTCCTTAACTCTAAGTTGACGCGGCCCATCAAACCTGCCAATGTGTCAGCACACAACTGCCGTAACAAAACCGGATAAACCCGAAGCTTCCGAACCCTGAAATGCTATGCAGTCCCTTGGCCCTATAGGTCCTGAACTGCAAGCCTGAACCCAGAAAGCCCTGAATGCTTTGAGCCTCAAAGCCTACAAGCCCTAAGCCCTCCTGACTCCTGTAAAATTCGCCTTAAACCATCCCTAAACCCCAAACCCTATAAATTACACAAGTCGCCCTAACTCCTGACTCATCTTGAGCCCCTCACCCGAGACCCCTAAAAGCCCGAATGCCATCGCCTCCACCGTGGCCACGTCCTTTGGCTCCAGCAGCTCCCGATGGAGATCGAAGCCTCTGAAGAGGATGACCTGCGTAGGGTGCCAATCGCCATGGCTTTCCGGCTGTATAAGGCCAGCACAAGGACCCCAGTAAGTAGAATAAGCCTGCGGGGCATGTTCTACCATCATCATGCGAGGAAGATGAGGGAATACTCCAGAGGCTGGTTAAGAAGAGGAGACGTAGGTGCCCACTGTCGTCACCCTTCATGGCCACAAGCATTACCATGGTGAGGATGTTTATCACTTCATCCGCAATCACCACGGATTGGCCTCACCCAACTCCCGATGCAGGCGTTCTGCACAACTCCCAATCCCTATAGGCTCCCCCGGCTATCTCTCTCTCTCTCTCTCCCCCAGGCATCCCAGGCATGCTTAGGGACATCAACTAATTCCCAAACTCCACCAACTGAATGCTGACAGCCTTGCAGCTGCAGCTCAGGCGATGCCAGCCGATCGCCTCCGATTCAGCGCTCGACTTTGGAAGATGAGGCTTTGGAAAGATGCAGGTAGGGTAGGGTTTAGGGTTTAGGGGTTTAGGGGTTTAGGGGTTTAGGGGTTTAGGGGTTTAGGGTTTAGAGCAGGTACCTGTAGTCTCCATTGTAGTTTCGTTTTTGGTTTAACCAGATATATAATAAGGATTCTATAAGGTATCCCCAAAAAGGAACTACAATGGAGACTATAGGTAGGGTACCCTAGCCCCACACCTCACACACTCCCAGTCTGATCAAGGGTGTGGAATTTCAGAAACCTGAACCATAAATCCAACTTAGCGGCTACCGGGGCACCTACTCTTCGATGATGATTGTCTCACTCCTTAGTGTAAACCAAGACTATGGCTAGGACTCCAAAAACAATGGGCAGCCTCAGGAAAGGAACTACACATTCCAGAGTCTAGAATACCTCGCCGCCCAGTTGAATTGCCTCCTGCATACATCACGGACCATTGTCCCTCAAACCTCATAAAAGCCTTTTGTACCCATAAACCCAAGAACTACTAAGATGTAGGCACTGGGCTCTAAGGGTACGGTAGCTGGAGAAATCTCACTGTCCGGCCTCTGCCGCGGCCAGGAGGCGGGGTGCCAGCTTTGCCACATCCACGGCGCCACGGAGGAAGCTTACTGCCAGGGCCTGGGATTTCTGGAAGAGAATTTTCAACCTAAAAGCTAAAATTCAAGGGCGTTTGGGTCGAAGGGGCTTGGGTTTAAGGATTTGTGTCTGAAGGGGTTGGGGCAAGGATTTTTCGGTTGAAGGTATTGGGCATTAAGGGCTTAAGGACAGATTTGGGGATGAACGGTGGTATGTTCAAGGATTTCGGGCTTTCTCAGTTGGCTCTCCCACTTCGGACATGCTGTGGCTGACCTGTGGGCTTCGGGCTTTTAGGGTTTAGGGTTTAGGGGTTTAGGGGTTTAGGGTTTAGGGTTTAGGGTTTAGGGTTTAGTTGGCCGGGGACTTAATATAGGGGCCTTAATAATTAGACTAGGGTTTTGGGGCCCAATATACTATGGTTAAAACAAGGAACCCCCCCCAATAGTATTGGTCTCCTCGTACTGAAGCGGAGGGAATGGAGATTTGTGCGATACTTGTATACGGACATTGCTAAGAAACCCCTATATGACAGGTGTATGTGCGGAGCACGGTGGTCGTGGTTGGCACTACAGATTCGGACTTTAACGCTACACTTCTTATCGCATTGAATGACAGGGCGCAGGAAGTCAATGCTCCATCGGCGCCGATCGCAACTCTGAACTCGTAAACACATCTACGTGGTGCAGCCGATCATCACAAACTCATGCCTACAAATACCGAAGCCCTACACCCCTCAAAGCTGAAGCTGTTACTCTTGTATTCAGGCTGCGTCTGGAGGTGCAGAGAATGGGCCGAGCTTCATGCCAGCCGTTATTGAACCCTTGACTGGGCTCCAAGACCCAAGACCAAAAGACAGACATGGCCGCTATCGTAACTTTTATCGCGCAGCACATTCTTGCTCTAGCTTCCAGCAAGGATCCTGGTAGGTTGGGAGGCAACGGAACCCTACATGTAAGTCCTAATTCCCAAAAACGCCCGTCCCAAGCCCCACCCTAACCCCCAAGTCCGAAAAGTTCCAAACCCCCGAGGCCACACAACCAACGTCCTATAGCGCCCGTACGTATGAGCTAAGCCTCAAAGCCTTCCTAAGCAATATCTCAACCGAAATCCGAGCCCTGACCCCCTAGATCTCTTGTTGCTACTCGACCCCAAACCCTCTATCGGCAGTCAGTGTCAGCCATCAGGACTTCTGCCGGCCACCGACTGACGAATGTCCGACCGAATCCTAAACCCTCAATGCCGTTTTCCCAAACCGCAACTCTTTCCCTCCGAACCTGCAGATCTCCAGTGCGAAGGTCGGACGATGCCACAGCCGCTTCGTAGGTTTCCTCTCTGGGGCTTCTTGATCTATCACAGGGGCCTTTCCACTTCGGATAGGTTTGGGTCTAGCCGGGTGCTGCTTGCAGGGGCCTTAATACTTTAAATCAGGGTTTGGGGTTTTGTCTTTCAACCAGAACTAGATAGGGACTCAAATGGTGGCTGCGAGAGGGGGTCTGACCAATACTTGCCACCTGTCGGTGTTCAGAGAGGGCTTGGCTGTTTTCGCGTCGCAGAACTCGCTCTGTCCTATGATCCTTAGGGTTCGTTGTCCAGGGTGTTAGGGTGGAAAGGTTTTTCTATTTGGAGTGCAGCCTTCTTGGGACTTCGAGTTTAGATTTCGTTTCGGGAATTGCAGCTACATGGCTTTCTGCATAGAGGCACAAAGGCCACAGTGCGCTTGACGTCTCGGATATCACATCTTACATAAGTGCACTTGCTCGCTCCATGACCTGGGCCATCACAAGGATTTGAGGTGCAAGCTACAGGGTTTAGGGTTTCGGATGGAGGCAAGGCTCCAAGCAACGAAACGTCCCTTGTGGTGGGGTTCAAGGACAGTTTACTTGGAGGTTCATGGGTAGTTATAAGTGGGGTTATAAGTCCCCTACTATGGGTTATAAGTAGAGTTACCCTACTTATAACCCGATTTATAACTACCCATGAACCTCCAAGTATGGGCATGCTCTCCTACAAGACCAGCCTTCGAGTCATCGGGGAGCGCCCGACACCTCAATGTCGTTGGGTCGGAACTTAAAGCAGAAAACATAATGAAGGGGCCTAAATAAGTACCTATACTGTTTTTTGGGGTTCCCTATTGTCATTATAGTTTAGCGGGCCCCAAAACCCTATTCTAATTATTCAGGCCCGCATATTACAATGCCGAGTTCTCGAGCGTTCCATAGGGAAACCCTGCCAAAGAGTCATCTTCGTAAGACTTTGACCATCCTAAACCCTGCAATATAGGGGGCCCGGATGCTTAGAATAGGCTTATGGGTAGGCGGGACCTTATGCGGCAGCTATATAAGGACTGCGGCAAAAAGAGGATCCTATCAAAACTATGTCGATTCCTATACTACTCCACTACAGAAGCCACGGTTGGGGGCTCAGGGATACGGCAGTCGAGGGGCATAACTGCCTCAAGAGCGGGTGCCGCTTCAGAGCTCCCGGAAATAGAAAGGGCCTCAGGGGGGATTCGGGGTTTGAGGGATAGAGGTTTTGGGTGAAGGCCTGCTGCTGTTGCTGTTGCTGTTTTCTCTGCTGCTGCTGCTGTTGTTGTTGTTGTTGTTGCTGTTGCTGTTGCTGTTATTGTTCTTGTTGTTGTTGTTG